TTTTTTTTTTACTATTAGCAAATGATACAGGAATGAAACAAAACCACTGGTAACCGTGGCTGTAAATAATAACAGCGGTTTTTCGTGTGTTGAGATAACTTGAAAATTTCTTCTTCCTAGGCCATACTGCTTCTAGTTCCTCTCTTGAAAAGACATACAAAAGATCAAACATGGATCTCAATGAAAATAATGAATCTGTAAGTATTGTTTTGTAATAAATTGTCGAAGGTGAATTTGATTAAATGTACACCAGACAGATAAGGAATACTGTAGTCACCTGTCCAGTTCTTCTGCATAAGTTAAGTCTGTGAGACCATGCTAATTCTTTGTATAGTTGAAGGAGAATATTCTTTCTTTACACGGAGGAACATTTAAAACAAAACAAAAAACTAAACAAAACAAAATCTGTAGGCCTTGAAAAGATTCTGCCTTCTTTTTACTCTCCTTTGCTGTGGTTTTATGAAGGTGAAGCTGTCTACAGTAGGACTTCCAGTTTTCTGAAAATGTGAAAGAAGGTGAGCTTTAGTGCTGTCCTGCAAACTAAGTAGTCATTATGCTATAGCATGGCATACATTCCCTGGAGTTGTTATTATTTGTTCTTTAGTACTTCTTATGTCTAATCTACTTTCTTGCTTTTTCTTTTTTTTTTACTTGTTGTTGTTTTCTGAGCTATTTTAAAGAGGTCAGCCCATGAGTGCTGAGATGGTTACTGGCATAGTTAAGGTAGTTACAATATCAGTGAGAGGAAAGGAGTATGAATCCATAATTCTAGGCAAATAAAGAGGATCCATTACCAGTCATTCTGCTTTTCAGAGAGTGAATGTGATGTTTTTTGTCATTTTATGCTAGGTGATTTAAAGAGAAATTCACTTTCTGATAGCAGTGCAATTGGCTCTTTTACCAGCTTGGAGGGAACAATGAGTTTCACAGGAACTGTGACTTTTTTTTTTTTTTTTTTTTTAAGTTTTGCTGAGTATTGCAGGGTGACAACCACTACAGAAGTTAAAGTGAAATACCTAATTAAGAATTTTTTTGGGGGGGAGAGGGAAAGGAAATAATATTGTTAGCAGTAGATGATTATCCTGCTCTGCTTCTGTAACATTCTGTGAATGGCCAGCTGAAACACTGTCTTCTACAGCTACTTGATGTTATGTTATGTATTGCCTTCAATACTGTCTTCTACTCATATGATTCCAGAGATCTCAGAACCTTAGAGAAGAACGAAGCTTTGTCTTTCTTAGCAACAAAATTGAGCCAACTTCAATTTTGGAAAAAGCACCACTTCACGATAATCTGAAAAAGGTAACACCAATATCTGATTTTATGCTGAATTTCTCCTAACAAGCGTGTGGTGTTCTCACTGTATAAACTAAATATGCTACTATAATAATACTTTATTTTGATTGAGGGATGTCTTAAGATGTTTTTCACGTGATGAAATAAATGAAGTTTTAAAGAGATGCTGACAGACACCTGTAAGCATTGTGTAGGTTTCTGCTGGCATATTAACCATTAGTCATGTCATTTTAATATAGTAATTTAATTCTTTTTTTTTTTTTTTTTATTCTGTGTTAAGGATATTTATTGTGAAATGGATCAGGAAGCTCTTAAATGCACTCCATGTTTTGTCTGGTTTTGTAAATTAATGTACTGTTTTCACATGGAACTCTTGATGTCTCATTCTTTAGGAACTTGCTCAGGATAAGTTTTTAGGCCCTAACTTCACAGAATCTTACTCTTGGCCAGCAATAGCTCGAGGATGTGATGTAGTTACCATCTCCTATCAAGGAAGTGACCCTTTCTCATATATTCCACCAGTTCTTGCTTTCTTGCAAATGGAAAACTGCTACAAAGCCTTGCCAAAAAGAAGTGGAGTATGTATATATTAAAGTACTATCAGATTTTCTGTAGTATAATAATGCAAAAAAAAAAAAGTAGTGGGTATCCAGAATGTACGTATCTAATGTGATCTTCATGAAGTTTGCCAGTTTATATAAGTCTTCTGCATAAAAGCTTACATAGTTGGACTTGGTGAATACAACAGTCAAAGACGTAGCAGGTAATACTTAACAAGTGATTATTGTTACATCACTTTGATTCCTAGCCTTTATTTTTATAGGGTTAGCCTGGTTTCACTGAATTTGTATTGGTTAGCTGTTTGAAATACTGGATATTGTTCTGTATTAGATCTCAGAAAAATAGAACTATTGAAGTTGTAAAGGTCTTCTGTGGAGATGATGTAGTGCAAACTAAGATCAGATGATACTGCTATCAAATTTTTAGACTTTTATGCTAGTTACTGCATAGTCCTTGTCTCAGGGTGACCTGGTATATGATTCCTTGGATCTGTAACATCTGCTTTTATTGGATGATGCAATACTACAAGTTCTGTTTTGGAAATGCTTGAAGGCATGTTTTTCAGACTTTCTTTGCTATAAATGTTGTGATAGTTTTAGATAAAAGCTGAGAATTGTAAGTAATACAATGTAAATTGTGTGTATACATATGCAGCCACTGGTGCTTATTTTATGTCCTGGTTGGAGGAAGGCACAGCTTGTTTTTGAGTTACTGAAAAAATACAGCAGATGCTCCAGACTGAGTTGTCCAATGTTGATAATACTTGGGAAGAAAAGAGAAGAAGCTGAAACAGTGAAAATCCAAGGATGTAAGAATATTTTTTTTCTTCATGATGCTTGAAAACAACGCGGGCTGTATTAATGTCAGGAAATTGTGAAAGAAGTAATTGAGTTACTCATTTGTAATAGTATACTGTTTCTTTACTGCTGTTTACTGCTGTAACTCCATAGTGATATGTCTGAAATTCAGTACTATTATTTAACAGTAAATTGTATTAAGGCTGTTTTACTACCTCCGTGTCTTTTTTTAATGAACTCCATAATAATTATTTTTTCACCAGGTTAGGATTTCATGAAGATTATGCCATATTAGGATTGATCACAGACTTCCTTGATTTGAAACTAAATTTTGTAATAGCATTTTGTTGATACCTGAGCATCTGTTTTTATAGCCTTTATTCAAGTTTATGTGGCTGGTAGATGAATTAAGATGTCTTATAATACCTGTTCATATGCTTGCACATATCAGGATTGTGTGTTTAAGCTACAATATGTGTTTGATTCCTTTTTTTTAACTTTTTTTTCTAATGGGGAGGCTGCTTTTGCAAGCAGTTAAACATTTAAATTCTGCACATCTGCTTCTGAAGTTTTCTTTTAATGAAGGCTTATTGGAAAACAAAGTGCTATCCTATTTCATTAACTTGTTACATTCAGGCTTCTCACGTTTTCTAAAATCCTGTAGCTTCCTGGTATTTAGTTTTAAGGAGCAGATTTTCTTTATATCAGTTCAGGTTTGACATCTAAGAGTAGACATCTTAACTGATCTGTTACAGAAACTTTTCATTCTTATTCTCCTGGAATATGGGTAGAATCATAAAGGTTAGAGAAGGGTACCTGAAGAAATGGTTTAGTGGTCTCGTGTCCTTCAGTGTTTTTACTTGTATTCTTTGAGGTTACAAATTAAAACTAATAGGTTTTTTTCCTCTAACATGTAGGTGAAATAATTGTGACTACACCATATAGTCTCCTGAGATTGTATAAACATCACCTTTCCTTGTTTTCTGGACTTTGCCGTCTTATTTTGGATGAAATTGAGGTACTGTTCTCTGAAGCTGCTGAACAGGTAAATGGGTTCTGATGGTAAAATGCCTTTCAGTTTTAATGCCCCTAGCAATTTTGAAGACAGTGGATTGTAGTACAGATACCAGCTTTCTTCAAACCCTGTGGTAGAGTTGAGAAAAGGCAAAGGAATTAGAAATAATTGTATATGTATGTACAATCAATGAATGTACAGATGTTATAGTTATGAGGCATACTAGAGAGCTTGCCTCCATAGCTATTACACCAAAGCAGAAAAGATAGGATGCTTACCCACATCTGGGGTCACTTGTGAAACTCCAGCAGAGAGGATCTCCAGAAGAGATCCTTCTCCACTGGCAGTCAGCTCTTAAATGGATCTAAGAGAGGTGCAGCCAGGCTCCACCCCTTCTGGCAGCACAGATGAATTGCCTTCACCTGTGCTCCTCTGGCTGACTCATTGCTTGCCTCAGGTGGTCAATCAGAGGTTCAGGCCGTGATTCAGCAGTTCCCATACAATGTATTTCTGGTAGATCGAAACACTGGAGAAGTATTTTAATAGTCTTACAGTCTGTTGTAGCAGAAATGCTAAGTCATGGCTTGAAGCAGTGATTGAGCACCTGGTGGGAAGGCAAGGGCAGCTCAGGGGAGCTCAGTGTGTGCACCTGAGTGACCAGAAAAGGTGGAGCTAGGATGCACCCCTTCCTAGCCCTCATTTAAGGGTTGGCAGAGGAGGTGAAGGTATCTCTCTAGAGATCCCTGCATACCTGAGGCCTTCCAAGGGTAACATAGTTTTTCCTTTGTTTCTGTGTTTGTGGCTGCTGCATTTGGGCTTATCCTCGCTTGCTGCAGCTTAGGGCTTTGCTGCCCTGCTATCATTGCTGTGCTTTGCATTGCACTGTAGCATTACATCTATTAATCTAACTTCCCTTAGTTTTCATATTTTTTTGTCTGGTTGGGTTTTTATCATTATTTGGAAAGCTGTCTTGTCTTGTTTGATGTCACTGCACCATCATACTTTCTTCATTTGCAGTCAGTGGTCTCCCAGACATTTGGATTGTTCCCATTTTGTTAGCAATACCTTCTGTGTAGGAGTCCTTAATCTCCTTTTAAGATGTGCATCCTCTGTCTCTAAGGAACTTTCTTTTCCCTCTTATCAATTAATGACATTCTTATCAGATTTTATGAACAGCTATGGCTGTAAGCTGTTGGTAAGATCCTTAGTTCTTGTAAAATGAAAGGCAGAAGTGAATGACTACATACTGTATAGGAAAGACTTCTCTTGGGCTTTGTTGTCACTGTTGGCAAGAAGAAGCTGGTCCCAACGTTAACAGGACCTTAGAAGAGGAATAGCATTAAGTTCCCAGCTAACTAGGTTGCATATGCATCTTACCAGCCTTTGAATAACCTTTTTATCTTAAGGTGTCTTTTACTTTTATCAAGGTCCTGTTGACTTGCAACACTGGAGTGTTCTTTTTTTTTTTTTTTTTTTTTTTTTTCCTAGTAGATTTTTTGTAAAGGATTTAGCTTCTTTGGTTCTTAGCAGTGTTATCTGTGATCAGTTAGTGCCATCAATTTGCGAGAGGGTGTAGGTTTGTATACTGTGAGCACAACTGCTTTGCATTCTTTTCTCACTTTCTGCTGACTTCAGGAGGTGTTAAAATAACAGGGTGAATGCACAGAAACCACAAAGTTTGTTTTGGGTTGTGAAACTTGAGTCTTGAAGGTGGTGTGGAGAATTTTGGTGGATGTAGTTTAGTTTGTGACAGGAAGAGCGGAGTATTCTCTGCTTTTACAAACTCATTGGAATTAGATAAGATTGTAAAACCATTTTTTGTTTTATAGGTTTCTGTTATACTAGGTTACTACAAGAAAAATCTCATTAATGAGGAATGGAAGTACTCACCACATCAAATTATTGCTGTTGGAACTCAATGGAATAAGCATATAGGAATCTTAATAAAGGAGTTCACGAATGATCCTTACATTGTGATAACAGCTTTGGAAGAAGCTTCCATTTATGGACATGTGCAACAGGTAAAAGCTTGGAGCTGATGTAATTATTTGTTAACTGAGCCATTCTGTTGTTTATAATGACCAAACAATCAATTGTTTATAATGATCAAGGGGTTTTTGTTTGCTTTGATTGGATAGTGCTGGAATTGCAGTTCAGGTTGCTCAGGTGTGCCTCCCACATATAAACTGAGGTGATTCTTAGAAAACATGCAAAATAATCTCTGCAGTAGCTGAATGTGATTTAACTGTTTTCCTAGGACTGAGGTGAAGATGTTCCCTCAACTATCCACTGTAATGCA